GGGGGGGGGGTGCACCCGTTACGAACAAACTTCCTTCTCCGCAGGTCATCTCTGACGTCACGCTGTACCACCCCACCGGCTCACAGCCAGCCACCCTTCCCATCCTCACCACCCTACATCAGAGGGAAACGTAGTCTCCTTGGTCTCTCTGGGTCTCTCTGTACAAAACTCCAAATTTCATAAGACAAGAATGTAGCAGCTCACGCGGCTCCGATCACTGATAGGATCAATGGAGGAGCAATTCTTCGGTATCTCAAGAATCTACGTACGCGCAAACAGGTTGTCGTAAAAAAAAAAAAAATTATAAAAAAATATAATCCAAAAGAACGATCCGGCTAAACCGGAATCTCAAGGCCAGTTTTAAATTTCATTGAGGCGTCAGTCGTTAGACACGGAATGAGGTTTTGAGCGATTCAAATAAAAAGAAACACTCGTAAGCGGAGTGATGTAGACAGAAATATACGTGACTATAGATATAATGTACCTTTTACGTCAGACGATCGCGGAACTCCAGCCGGAACGGGACGGCAGAAGTTGACGGCCGGTACTTTGTTTACCGCGAACACTTTATGCTCTCGTGCAGCTTTCATTGAGCACACAATGCCGATATCGCGCACTCGCAACACTCCTATTTCGCGTTTCCCCTCCGTCCGTCCGTCGTCGTCCTGCCGCACCACCGTCAGTTTTTAGACCCGCCAGCCGCTCTTCGACCGAACACAAAGAACACGCCCGACAGTTTCCAACTTCTCAGCGATATAGCCAACTTCGGGGAAACTTGGGAAAAAGCCTGGCCGGCGAATTCTAAGGAGGAGGAAGAGGAAGAGGCTTTCGGGACTACAGACGCACGTCCTTCGTGTAACAGGAGCAGCGCGATTAGATACAATAGACAGTTACATGGATGGACATTGGGAGGGTATTCGGCTCCAGCGCGGCTGGTTCAGTTGACAGCTGTCACGCGACAGTTTTTGGTTAAGCGCCATTTGGCAAAATTTCACTCCGATGTTTGAGAGAAATTTTCAAACGAATTGTTCGCATATCGTGTAAAGGCGAATTAAGCACCTTCTGTGATTCGCAGCGATTTTTCGTCGATTATAGAAATTTAAAGATATCACCGATTCACGTTGAAAGACAGACCGATTATTTACTCACGATTTTGGTCTCCGATATGTTTGTCCTTCTCTTACGCACGTTTAAGGTCATAAGCATGTCTCTCTCGCGCTCGCGGCAGGTATACGAGGCTCCTAATTTCTATAAGGCATCCCAATTCCAGACCCTTTTCTGATGTATAGCATTTCAATACGGGCTATTGGCAGGTTCGGCAACCCTCGGCGCGCCTGCGCAACTTATTCAATGGACGTCTAAAAAGTTTTTTCATTTTCTCTAATATAAACGCTGTCAAACGGTTCTAAATTAAAATCTACCTGTCACGTTTGACTGCTGTATCCGAACTTGATAAAGTTATATAAATATTAAAGGAACGTCATGCCGACGTCCATGGACTTCAAGAAGACGAATCGACCGGAAGTACGTGCACGTGCAGTCTCCGTCTGCGTTACAGGAAGCGCATCGAAGAAGAAACAGGCCATTATATATTCAAGCAATATTTTGGTTACTGCGGACTCGTGAGCTTGCATCCTGATTCCTCCCAGAGCTTTTAACGGACTTGCGTCATGGTGACGTAAAAGTAGAAGAAAAGAAAAAGAGGTTAGCATTTATGAAAAGTGCATTATTCGACGTTCGTACACTCCTTCGAGGACGGAAAGGAAGAGAAGGAAGAAGATGGCTGCGGTGGCTGTGGTAGTAATGGCAGTGTCGCTGGCGTAGGAGAGAGAGATCGGTCGATGGCATCGAGTCGAGTGCGGCTAGTCGGTGGGAACGCAGGGGCGTCGGGACGCTTGCGCCGCCCGGGATTTTTCTCTAAGTTTCCGTAGGAGGGCGCCTCCGCGTTACCGTCGTTCTACTAGAAAAGTTCACCGGTAGCTTTCAGCGAGACATCCCTCACTCTTCGTGCTTCATCCACTCCGACCTCCAGAGCACCGTTTGTTTTACCTTCCACTTCCTTTATTCCTGGACATACAAGGACGCATGCATCTGCACCCTCTGCCGAGACTCAAAGGTACTACGGTTCTAGATAATGGAATAAGAGTCTGGACATTATAGATACGGTTTGAGTCTCCGGCCCGGAAACTCTCCTGTGGGATATACTTCCTTTTCCTTTTTTTTTTTCTTTCTTTCCCCCGAGTACTCTTAGGATCCTTCCTTCTGATCTCTCCATCTTTACCTACGACCCGCTCCTTCTTGCTCGTTCAGGTGGCAACTCACTTATCACTGATCTTCCGGTGTTGCACTTCTTCTTATTCAGATTCACTTTATCTTTGAATTTCAATATTTTGAAATTCTATCTTGTCCTTTACGAAATTTTGTCTTTCTCAATACATTCGAAACGCGTGAGGTGGTCCGGAGACGAAAAAGTGGAATCATCGGCCGTCCTTTGGCTCTATCTCGATCTGTAATTCCGAGTGCTTTGGCTGATTTGGTCGATGCGCCTCGCTCCGCCGTGTTCTGCCTTATCCTTCATTCGACTTTTCCCTCTGCCTCCCTCCCTCCCTCCCGCCCTGAAAGATCTCTGGCAGCGCGCCCACGCGCCCGCGCTCCTCGAGTCCAGTCCCCTCGGGTGGGGTGGTTAGAATGGTTAGAAGGGTGGCGTGCGCGCGCACGTCGCTCTGCCGCTGCATCCGGCTGCTGTCCACGCCACGCAGTCTACCGAGGATCGCGTAGCGCGTGTGCGTGTGCGTTTGTCCCTGGCACTCCGGCACGCAACCGGAGAACTGTTTTAATTTCGCAGGAGCACAGGGCTGCCATGAGCACTGCGTTCAGTTGACGCGAGAGGCTGGAGAGGACCTTTTTAAAACTGTGCAACTTGCGATTTAGGCGGCGCGTGGAACATGCGAGGACATGCGAGGCCGCATTCTGCCTGCCGACTCCTTCGGATCTCTCGATCCCTTCGAACGCAATCGTCAATCTTCAGCTTCCGGGGAAGTCTGCGAATCTGAAAAGAAAAGGATCCCCGTGACGTCGCCTTGCCGTCGCCGTCACCACCGCCGTGACCATCCTCGGTGAGCCGGAAGAGCCTATTCGAGCGAAGAGAAGCGATCCAGGGTGTAACGGCGGAAGGCTGATCTGCCAGCTGGAATGTTTGATCGATTCTGGCAAGATTGACCCGTAAGTGGAAGAACGGGAGTGCAACAGCCTCCGAGTATCCAGGCTATCAATTGCAGAATCGTGGGGGAATTATCGATGAATTCAATTGCAAAGAAGTTGGCGACTTCCCAACCTCGAGGAAGGTAGCACATCTGCGGCGCGGCCGTAAAGGGAATACGGGCCATAATTTGGAGCAGCACCTAACCATCGGTGCAGCCTGCAACGTAAACATCAATCAGCATCAATCAGCATCATCAGCATCATCAGCAGTATCGATACCATCAACGCTATAATTATTGCTATCGTTCTCAAAGCAATCGATATCATTATTCTTGTCACTGCGAAGGCTGCGGTCGTTGGCACTGTCATTGACACCCTCCCTATCAATCGGAAGCCCCACCATCAGCATCACCATTACCGCGAAGAGCGTCATCGGCGCTGGACGCCGATCCTCGTATCTCGCCTGGATATTCGCCGAGGGGCAGACCAGGAGGCTGGGCTTTTGCAGACGCCGTGGCCGTCGCCGACGAAAAGAAGGAAAAGGGAGCAAATCCTCGACAGGCTTCCGGGCCAACACCTCGCTCGAGATCTTCCAGCAGAGAACGCGCGCACCCCTAGCCAAATCCTTACAGTCAGAAACCCTACGGGATGACGTCCTTTGCTACCTGCGAGCATCCAGTTTCGTTGCCAGTCAAGAATCCTAAGGATCAGTTTCACGTCAAGGACAAAGTGAATGTTTAGGTACGGATAGAAGTCAGCGTCCGCATCGTGTCCAGATCGCCGATGACGTCCAGACTGCTGAGCTTGCTTCGCGTTGAATACTCTGAAAAGGAACCGGAAATTTAGTCACTCAACAATACGGAAGCGTTTATCCAGGATGATTGAACGATATAAATATTCGTTCCAGTTGCAATTTGCCGCCGGCAGATCAAACTGAATTTCGCATTCAGATCCGAATGTTAATCAGATCCGAAGTGTAATCCGATTCTGAGCGAAGTGACCGTCGCTCATGGATTCTGGGTTGTGAATGGTGGATAGTAAACAGTGTATAGTGGACCATGGATAGTGGATTGTGGATCCTGGACGATATGTGATTAATGTCTACTGTCGCTCGAGAGTAGAATCGAACGCGTTCGCATTTGCGTTCACATACGTTTCGAACTAGACGGAACGTAAAACGCGAAAGATATGTTCGAGCATTTGTAGTTTTAAATATTGTTAAATATTTCAAAGCCTTCTAAAATTCTTTTAAAAGCAGGTCGGAGCAGTACGGGTACTCATCGCTTAGACTTTTACCTATTAAACCCGAACGATTAGTGTACTCGGGCGTAATCACTTATTTAACAGTCGTCATTGTCCAGTTACCTTCGCATGTTACGCGTCATCGGCTATAAAGGAAGCACGCTCGATCACGTGTGGTATTTAAAAGCTCGGATGTTCAAGGGCAGGAGACATTTGAGCCGAAGAGGAAACGATTGTTGCGGTGGAATCAGGGCGATGACAAAGGAGAAAAAGCTCATGGAAGTCGGGAGAGTGTAAAATAATTAAAAGTGCGAGGGTGACAAGTTCATTTTCATCGAGTTGAAATATCTGTAGTCAACAGTGATATTTGTAGTAATTTCAAGATTTTGATGTCCCTAGTATTCTCGTGGACTCTTCTCGTAGCCTGACCCAGTCCAACCCCAATCCAACCTTGATCTTTAGTCTCTTCACTACCGTTCCTTCGTTCCTCGCGGCCGATGCTCGTGGTAGCACGTCACTTCCGTCGCTCGGGAGAGGCCACTCATCTTACTTACGTATATTATTAAGGTAAACCTCGACCCTTAATCTAGGGAAGAAAACGGCGGGACCAATTTTTCGCGTTGACTGTGTGTCGTTCATTGAGAATGATCGAGCAATCCTCTCGCAATTCGAGTGTAACGTCACACGAAACGCGAAAACGTAAAACGCTAAACGCTTAGAAAGCGCCGAAAACAGATTCTAAAAGATTTGGTCCAATCAGTCGGCGTCGGCTTTGGAGCCACCGAACCAGTTGAACCACAAGTTATTAGAATATTTAAGGAATTAGCTTAGCGACTATTCTCGTTTCCACCCTCTCACCAATCAGTGTCTCCTCCTATCCTTAAGACCTAACAAGTTCACGTGATACCTTCTGACCTCAAGCATCAAGCGCTTGGAAGTCACCAGCCAGCGCGATCACGCGTCAACCCTGACCTCGAGTTCAATGTGAAGATCGTAGGAAGACCGGGAGATCGATCGAGGGGATCGAGGGGATCGAAGAGCAGAATAGAAGGAAGCATGAAAGGATGAAGATTCGGGACTCGAGGGGGAGGATCTTCTTACGGGACGATCGCGAAGAATGCTACTGCCGAAGGGATTGCCCGAAATGTCAGGAGGAATTGAGAATGCCATAAGTTCCCTCTGCGAGAATCAGAAATCATTGGGTTCGGGGAGCAAGAGCCGATAGCGGCAGCCAGGTCGAAGGGTGCGGGCATGCCGAGCTTCGGCACCACAATCAAGGGCGCTGCTAATTTCGCTTCGGCAAGCATCTTCGAGGGGCGTATGACGTGGGGCGGGGTCGTCGGCGACATCGGCGTCGTCGGCGGTGCTGGTGCTGATACTGTGAGCCTTATCTCCATTGGCAGAGGTGCCGGTGCGACTATCGGCGGAGTAAGCGACGGCGACGGCAGCGAGAGAGGAGGACTCGTCTCCAGCCGTGGCAATAACGGTACTGGATTTCAAACTGGAATTGGAGATCCAGCTGTAAAGGGTGTCGGCGAGCTGGGAGCCAGAGTCGCAGAGACTCGACGCACATTCGGTAGCCGTGGTACTGGAGTTAATATAATCGCTGCGACATCCGGGTCAATTGGAAAGCCAACAATTGCAGCTGCTCGTGCCGATGGATGTGGTGCTGCCGTTGGCGGCGACCGCGGCCGTGGTGGAACCTGCGAAGGCAGCAGCAGCGGCGTTCGACCTGGCGGAGGACCTGTTGGAAGTACCGCCGGTGCAGTTGGCAGTGCAGCAAGGGTGACTGGAGGTGGAAGTGGCGGAGACGGTAGCGTTTCCAACAACGTGGCCGGTGCCGGTGCTAGTGGCGGCGGCGGCGGCGGCGGTATTGGTGCTAGCGCTGGCAGCGGCGACGGTGGCGGTGGCGGAAGAGCGAGGGAAGCCAGTGCTAGTGGCAGTGGCGGTGGCAGTGTCAGTGGCGGAGACCGAGGAGGTTCAAATAGTGCCAACGGGGGAAGCGGGGGGAGCAGGGGACGCGTCGGTGAGATCGGTGAGATCGGCGAGATCGGCAGGGTCGCCAGGGTCGCCGGAGGAAGTGGTGGCGGCGGTGGTGCCGGTAGCGCAAGTGGACTCAGCCACGGTGGCGGTATCGTCGGTAACGGCGGCAACGAAGGTGGCGGAGGTGCGATGGGGAGCCACGCCGCCGAAGGTGAGCTCCTCTTCGGTTTCGAGGAGATGATGGAGGATTTTGGCTCGTCGTTCAACAGCTCCTTCAACGAGAGCTTCTTTTCGTGGAACGGCAGCCTCTACAACGAGACGTACCTCGTCCTCGGGGAGGGAATGTACCCCTCGGGATACAGCCTGCCTCATATCGTCCTCGCCTCGATCGTCGTGACCCTCCTGATGATCGTGATAGTCGTTGGGAACATGCTCGTGATAATAGCTATCGCGACCGAGAAGGCCTTGAAGAACATTCAAAATTGGTTCATAGCGAGCCTCGCAGTCGCCGACTTCTTTCTAGGCCTCGTGATAATGCCCTTCTCATTGGCCAACGAGATAATGGGCTACTGGATATTCGGCTACTGGTGGTGCGACATATACTCCGCGATGGACGTGCTCCTCTGTACGGCGAGCATCATGAACTTGTGCTTGATCAGCCTCGATAGGTTCTGGAGCATCACGCAGGCCGTTGATTATCTGAAGAAGCGGACCCCGGCCAGGGCGGCGCTGATGATAGCCCTCGTCTGGCTACTCTCAGCCCTCGTCTGCATCCCGCCCCTCCTTGGCTGGAAGCGACCTACTCCCGAGGAGAAGTATCCCAAGTGCAAGGTAAGTCCTCCACCTGTAGATCCTACTCCGATTCCTCCTCCATTCTGCTTCGACCTCTCAAAAGAGAGCATTGCCACAACACATTTATCCATTGAACAGGGATCCATGAATACACGGCACACGGAGACACGCTTGCCGTTCCACGTGTCCAGCTGTATTCTCCCTTCTGTTGAGCGAAGCTACTCAGGAAGTGACGTGCAATCCTATAGAGTGAGGAAGAGAAGAAGCGCTCGCAATGTATTCCTGCAGGGGGTGGGGGGGAGGGGGGGCGCTAACGACTTTTCGCAATGTACGAAACGTCCAATGCAGCACGTACGGCTAGAATAAAGGGAGTAAAGTGAGCCGGAGTGTGTTGAGTCGAGCGCGAAAATTGAAGGGGGGAGAGAGAGAGAGAGAGAGAGAGAGAGAGAGAGAGAGAGAGAGAGAGAGAGAGAGAGAGAGAAAGAGGAAGTTAGGTTCGATCGAGAACATCGGGTCGGTGGTTTAGTTGCGCAGTTCGAATTCTAATCAGCCTCGGAGCAACGATGGCACGCGCTCAGCTCGGAACTTCCACAGTGCGTGCCCAATATACTTCGCACTCGGGACTCGAGAGATTAAAGACCCATGAGTTTCCCCTATTTCTTTACTCGAAATTACTTCCAGCGATCGGGAAAAGAGATTTTCAGCTTTAAAATTCATCCCATTCAATATTATACTCGAGTCTCAATATTAATCGATACGTATACTATTTGCTATTGTCTCCGAGGATGCTGGAAAGGCAGAGGATAAGACTCTGTAGAGATAATAAGCACTCGTATTGCCGGGCGAATGTAGAGACATGTTTGCCGTTGATAATGACGTCGAAGCGGGGAGGAGTGACGCTTTATTAAAAATTTCAAACAAAAGGCATTGAAGTGAATCCCAGAGGGCGATGGCCCATGAGAACTTAGGAGGGGTGCCAGTGTGGCATAGGTTGCACTTTGTCATATAAGGGGTGTTTTTAATAAAACCATGCTTGGCCGCGGTCTGAATACGCGAAAGCAGACCGCGATCTGCTTCGCATACAAATTTGGCCCATTTCCCGGGAACGTCTTTGCGCAGCAGAATCGCCTCCCACGTCTCGGAAGGCAAGTAGTCTCGTAAGCTCCGGAGTCAACCTCCGAACTTTTGCTGTTTCCTCTCCTCGCCCACAAGACGACCTCGAAGCTTCCAGCAAGCTTCCTCTTGGACTGCGCGATATGCGAAAATCCCACTCGCTTCCCTCCTGTAGCCGCAGCTTTCGTCCTGGAGTCTGGAGGTTTCCAGCCGTTTCACATTTCAGTGACACGTGCCTCGTTCCAGCGCTTCTCCGTCTCTTCATTCTTCCATTCTTTCATTCTTTTATTCTCTTATCCGCTTGGTTTAATCGGCGACGCTCCCTCCCGAGGATGCGCAGCGCGCTCGCACGGAGGACGCCTGTTACCGCTTGCCGTTTGGGGGTTGAAGGTTCAAACTGGGACTGCGGCTCTGTGGTTGGGGTCGAGCGTGGGGGGTTGGGTCGGCTGAAGGCAGAGGAGACAGAGGCATTTTCAGGAGCTGGATCGGAATTTGACCTGGGACGCGAAAACTCTGACCTGGTATGTCAGCCAATCTTTCGCGCTTCGTGTGTATCCCCACAACGACCCTCTTTGTCGCGACTCCTGGCGTCGCCACGATGGAAACCACCCACGACGAGAATTCCTCATACGGAATCGCCGTCAGGACTTTCCTCGCTCTGGGACTGACTTTCTTTTTTTTTTATCCCTGGAAATTATCCAATGTATATTCGCAAGGCGATTATCGGATTTCGCTTAGCCAGTCAGGTCGTCGCGACGCCCGCACGGAACGGGGCCACCATAGGTCTCTGGTCGCCCTCGATTTCAATTTTAATTCAACCAATCTAAAGTCCTTCGAAAGACCTCGGTGTCGGTGCGTCGCTGGGATGGCTGACCGCTGAGACTCCTTACGACTTTTCGAGGGACGAAGATTAATGAACTGTCTCGTTCTCTTACTTTTCCTGCGGGAGCGACGCCAGGAACAGCCACAGGGTAATGTGACGCGTTACAAGGGATGCTTGGACAACTCTGTAAATGCCTAACTCCGATGACGATCCTGCCAACTCTGCGAACTCATTATTGTGACAGTCGGTCAAAAAACAAAACCAACACACCGCGACGATTGAAAGAACACCGCCATTTTCGTACAGTGCGAGGTTCCTCCTATGAGTGAGAGAGAGAGAAAGAGAGAGAGAGAGAGAGAGAGAGAGAGAGAGAGAGAGAGAAAGACAAAAGCAGTTAGGTGGCAAGAACCGACAAGGATGCTTTTCCACGATCAATTTCACGAGCACAAAACGCCACGCCGTGAACCGGCGCCAATGGGGATGGTTGCTTCCTGGCCAACCCGATGCTCTATACGTTCCTCTTGAAACCCCTTATCAGGTCCATGATACAGTTTCTACCTTATCTGTGAATACAGGCACATCCCGCCTTCGGGTCCTGTCCTTCGTCCTAGGATCCCTTGGTTCCCGAGGCTCCGGTATATAGAGCAACAAAAGTGACCTAGCACTGCCAAGTAATGAACCCACCCCATACGTAATACGTCAAGTATATGACAGACAGCCCCAAGCTGAACTACCATTGGCTAGCTGACTAGCGAAGGTACGAGACACCAGAGCGCATCAATCTATGCCACAACTTCCTTTCTCCTCGGCACCCTGGTACCAGGCTAAACGTTCGACCGATCCCTGGACCGATCAATGGATCGACCGATCGATACGCTCATTCCCACGCCGAGAGATCCTCCTGTGCGATAAGTACTGCGATAATATATAACTTTATGTTGAATAATATTCCCCAGGAAATTTAATCATCTTGATTTCCTATTGTTGCTCTTATTTTCTATTGCGCATCAACAGGGAAGGGGTAGATAGATGGAGGGAAGACTTGACCGAGGAACGGGCTCAATTTTCCAGCCCGGATTTGAAGGTGGGACATTATTGGCAGCAGACGGAAAAATCGATCCCACGGGAGCGCTGTTCCTCCAAGAGATATCGTTCGTCTCGAGATTTTCCCCAGTTGTGAAATTCCTTGAAAGGACAGTATGAGGTCCCGTAGGATAGCATGACATACCATATGGGCTTCTATGGACCTAGACTCTGGCACGATAACGAACGCTGACGCTGGCACATTCTGATACTACTTTCTTGTATAATCTCCGGTTCTCATAAAATTCACGATAACCGATAAAGGTGAGAGACTAACGAGGAAATTGATAAAGACACGAATAATTGGAGGGGGAGGATATAAGACGGAGTGGGCAGAAGCATCCATAGAGCATAGTGGCGCTAGATCCCATGAAGATGGATGAGTGTACGGGATCTTCTGGTATTTTAATATCTGGCATTCCTGAAGAGGTACGATCGTCCGATGTCGAGTTCAGCGACGTACTCGATTTTAGCAGAATCTTCATCGGATAGCTCCGACGGCAACCAGTCAGCCGTGTACTCTCTTCCTCGAACCGTCCTGCTTCACGGTCAACTCTACTACTATATTCCGCTATAGTAATTATACACGTAAAAGGTTCAGCAGGGTCGATGCCATTGTCCCGAGTCTCGTGACTATTTCCGATCGCTGTCTTCCGGTGTTCTGTCAAACCTCAGTTGGCCTTTACTCAACTTCTCGTTCTATAAGATTCACTCGACCAACTCATGAATATCTTATACCACTAAGAATAAGTGCAGAAGAAGAATAGATATTCAAATTCGATTACATTTATCTAGATATCGTATTTCTTGGAACGCATCAATGAGCCGATTGTCATGCGAATTCTCGTTGAAAATAATCTCTTGAATTTAATCACGGTATCCAGGTTATTCGCTATGCCGGCCAGTGGCTCTCTATATACCGAAAGGAATACGCACTGGATCGTTGCTTCCTCCGCAGAAGGAAATAAATTCAAAATGTAATGGTTGATGGTACACCCGGAAATTGCATTGATTCACTCTTGCGAATGAATCTTATACCCACCCTGGGCTCCTGCTCGAGCGAATCGAGTTCGATCAGGACTCTGGGGTGTGATAGTCCTAAGGGTGGCAGGGCTTCCGAAGGTTCTGAGACCGATGTGCTCTACCTGACTCCTGGGATTTCTGTGTGCGTGCGATATCCGGGGCCATTGAGAGAGAAAAGAGCGTAACGACGCGTCGGGACGCATTAGCTCGAAGGGAGGTGCGAGAGCGATGATGGTGCAAAGGGCATTATTTTGGCTTCGACTGGCCGACCGTGGGCTGCTGATGTCCATTCAGCGCAACCAGCGCAATCAGTGTGTCCAACGTATCAAACGTATTAAATGTATCCAACGTGTTCCCGGCGTATCGAACGAGCGAACGCCGCACGCGCGAAACTGTACCAATTCGCTCTTCTCCTTTCCCGAAAGTTCCATCGATGCGAACGCGCACACGCCGCCATTGCCGCCACCGTCGCCACCAGCACCACAGCCAGAGCAACACCAGCAACACGAGCAACACCCAGAACCAGCATCAGCATCCAGCACCCTTCCTACATTGCCGACTTCCGGAAGTGTTAAACCGTAAAGGCGAAAAATCCTATGTCGGGGAAAACTATGCCCATATAGAGCAAGTGTAATGGCGACACAGACACCTGTTTCTGGACTTCTTCTTCTTCTTCTTCTATGACACTCATTTATCAACTACCCCGATTTCCCAGGAATAGCATCATTCGAGCTCCATTGGGAACATCCAAGTGATTACATCAATAGATAACACGTAGTTTCGCAATGGCACGAGGGTGTGGCCATTTGCTTTACAGTCGCTTTATGGGCACATTAATAAACTGCTCCTTGTAGTTATGGCGGCACTTTCGTAGGACCTTGTAACTTCCTAGTTTCCAGAATCCAACAGAATCACTTCGTCTTACCGACCTCGTTCACCTCGACACGAGGTCGGAGCTGCGTTTGGCTCGAGTCTACGAATTATCCGAGAGACAGCA